GGAGTTTCCTTACTATTATCTTTTTAAAAATAATACTTATTAAAATTTTAAAAATGCAAAAAAAACCTACACAAAGTTTTATAGATAGAGATAGAGATAGAGATATAGATATAGATATAGATAGAGATTAGATAGATAGATAGATAGATAGATAGATAGATAGATAGATAGATAGATAGATGATAGATAGATGGATGGATAGATAGATAGATAGATAGATAGATAGATAGATAGATAGATAGATAGATAGACAGACAGACAAGTCTTGGCATGTTCGGGTCTTTTCCCGTGTAAGATTGAGAGCATCTTGGCAGCGTTTCAACGAGGTCCCACTCGCCATCTTCAGGCTGGTGCTTTCGGCTTCGTGTTTGTGCGAGCCGAAAGCACCAGCCTGAAGATGGAGAGTGGGACCTCGTCAAAACGTTGCCAAGATGCTCTCAATCTTACACGAGAAAAGACCCCAACACGCCAAGATCTGCATACCTGTACCCATGAAAATCTACCCTGTACCCGTGAATATATATAAAATAAAAAGTGCAAAAGGAAAAAAGGAAGAAGGGAAAATGTCTACATAAAGTTGCTTTTTTAGTATCCTTGATAATCTATGCGTACCTTAAACAGCAATATTGTGATCTCTTGTTGCAATATTTCATTGGAAGAATAACTGTGGATTAGGATATAGCACTAGATACTGGTAAATATAAATAAATGTTTATTTTAAATACCATGCCTCAAGCCCTGATAACGCAGTGGTTAGAATGCAGTATTGCAGCCTAATTCTACCGACTCAGCCATTTGATTGTCACCATCTCAAGGTTGACTTTGAGATTGATAAAATGAGGACCCAGATTGTTGAGGGTAATATTCTGACTTTAAACCACTTAGAGACAACTGTAAAACACTATGAAGTGGTATATGAGTCTAAGTGCTATTGCTATGTTAAGCATCATACATAGTAATGGGTGCATGTATTTTAACAGATCATATATTCTTGCAGATAAGCCCATCCACAATAAACTGACCCTCAAATTTTTCATGCTTTAATTTTCACGATTGGCTGACCTGTGGGTGGCACATTTTTATATGGTTGTTGGGTTGGAAATGTGAAGATTGCCTTACCTGCAGATGGGCTTTCCCTGTCTTTTCTTGGCAAGTTTTTTTTTTCAGAATTATTTGCCATTGCCTCCTTCCTAGGACTGAGAGAAAGTGATTGGACCAAGGACCGAAACCCATGCAGCTGGGTGTTGTCAGTAAAGTAGGATTAGAACTCACAGCCTCCTAATTTGCAGCCTAATGCCTTAATCATTACACCAAACTGATGAGTTTATATTTGAGTATATATGAATCCTTTTTAAAAAGTATTATGGTATTTACTTACAGATGAAGCTCAACCATGGATAAGCCAAATCCAGTTTTGGGGGTCTATTTTGACTCAAATTCTTGACTTACCGGTGACTAAATTTGATATTTGACATACCACAGGCTGTGAGTTCTTACTCGCAATTATTTTTTCCCCATTTAATTGCATTAATTTATCTTTATTGCATAACTGTGTTCTTTGACCTTGTGTGCATACCAACCATTGGCAAGGAGGCACAGAGGCAGAAGGGAGATCTTATAGCTGGAATGTTTTAGGGATAATGTATGACTGTAACTTTGTTGCTTGTATCCTTACGATTTATATGGACTGCTTCCTAGCATGATTTGATTGCTTATATCATTAAGTGTCGTACCTTATGATTCTTGACCCTTGATGAATGTATCTTTTCTAAGTTCTTCTAAGTAATCTTTATGTGATTGAATTGGACTTGGTGGCAATTCCTAAGTTTCACATCTGGAAGGAATCCCATTCATCTCATCTGCCATCATCAGGCTTGTGTATTGTGTATACACAAGCCTGATGATGGCAGATGAGATTCTGCCGAAACATCACCACAGCTTTAAAAGCACAACTATAATGACGAGGGAAAATACCTGAACAAAACTGAATACCATACATATAAATACCTGTGAAAACTTAAGAAAACATATATCTATATCTATATTTCATTCTCTCTCCCCTCCACAACTCCTGATTACTGAGCTATTGACTTTAATAGGCAAAAGAAGAAAAATGCAATGGAGGAAAAAAGCAACATTGATCCAGGATTCAGGAAGAACAAAGCGGGAAGATGTTTAGGTAAACATAATCTTCCCCAAGCTTTTCAAAGTCTTAAAATGGCTCACGAAGGTAGGTATCTTGGATTCAGCAAATAGGAAAAACATTGAGAAAAATAAAATTGGGGAGCGGTTAACTATTTAGAACAGGGGTGTCAAACTCAATTTCATTGAGGGCCGCATCAGGGTTGTGTTTGACCTTTTGGGGGGCTGGGATGGGCATGGCCAACTCAACGTCACTCCTGTTGGGAGTGCCTGCGGTGGCCCGAATGCTCTGCCAACAAAAATGGGCTCCCGAGTTCCGTTTCCAGCAACAGCCTTCTGCAACCCTCTGCCAGCCAATATGGAGCTCGGAAGGATTGCATGCGACCTTTGCGAGCTCCATTTTCCCTGGCAGAGGCACTGCAGCCTGGTCCTTTGCTGTTTCCAGGGTGATTCCGCGGGTCAGATCTAAGCATCCCACAGGCTGGATCTGCCCCCCCCCCCGCCCGGACCTTGAGTTTGACAACCCTGATTTAGAACATAGAGAGTAGAATCCACCTGGAAGGGACCTCAGAGGCCTTCTAGTCCAACCCCCTGCTCAATGTAGGAGTCCTTTCACATTTACAAATAGGCTGAAAAACAGCTTCTATGCCTGGGCAGTAACTATATTGAATTCTACTGTACGGTGCAATATTAATGCAGTATCGGGGGTTTTCGATTCAATTGTATAGAATGTGAAAGATGTGTGTTTGTGTTTTATTTTTATAGTTATAATGTACACTGAAGATGGCATTTAATTTTGTTATACGAGGTGCAGTGACAAACTAAACTAAAAATTTCACATAACATTTTACTTTAATTTTTTTTTAAATTTAATTTAATGAAACTCAGTGAGCATGCCAGGAAGAAGTTTGGAAGTTGCAACCGCTCCCACCTGTGGTCATTTTGTTTTTCTGTTCAAGTAAGGAAATATCTCAGAAATGATGACCCAGTGATCTAGTAAATAATACATTTAAACCAGGTAAGATTAAAATAATCACAATGCTGATAGCCTTATTTTGGTCCACTCTTCCAATGTTCTTACCACCATATCGAAGTGTTTCCTTGTTACAACCAGCAAAGGCTTCTCCACTCTTCATGCTCTAAAATGTCACGTAGGTTATATCTCAGCCTTAAATATTTGTAAAATACTCATTGAATTTATTAATAACTGATTTCAGTGGTTTTCTGTGTCAAATTGATAACCATAAAATCAAAGGTAAGGAGGCTTTTATATCTGGTTCCTATATGGCTTTCAACCTATCAAAGAAGTTTGCCTTTTTAATAACATTTTAAAAAATGTTTGTGATTCTCCCTAGTTCATCTCTTAGGGAGGAATTAACTTCCTAGTTCATCTGTTACAGATGAATTAACCTAATTTTAAATTTAACCAAGGTAATAGTAGCTTTTATTCTCATTTTCAGGATTCTGGTGAAATACTGTACAATATTTGACATATTTGAAACCATGCACTAGCCAAATTTTCTAAAATTATCTGTAATTGTTCCCCTGCTTTAGGAATATCCCTAATACAGAAATATTTTAAATCATGTGTGTTATCAGCTCCCACTCCTGCGTCTTTTTGAAAATTTAAAATGATTGAAGAGGTGATAAGTGCGAAATTAATTTTAGGAATATATGTTTACCAAATTTTAAACAATTTCAGAAAAATAATATTTCAGCTTCAGTACTTTATAAATATTTTGGTAAGAGGAACAGAAGTGGAGAAAAAAACCCCTCTCTGAAGGAGATGGGCAGTTAAGAAATAGAAAATATAAATAAATAAAGGTTTTTCACAAAATTATGTGGTGTAGAGGCTGGATTTGTTTTTGTTTACTCCTGAAATCTCTGTTATTAACCTTAACAGCTGAAAACTAGTTTTTTTTACTGCTGAAGAAAGCAAATAAAAACTTTACCTGAATGGAACTTTTTTTTTCTGTTTCTCTTAAAACTTTGAAGTCCAATCCATCAAATAGTAATTATGCTGGAACACTGCTAAATCATGGTATAGAGGGAGTTTGGTTAAAAAGGGGAAATATGAAATAAGCAGAACACACAGACAGTAGCCAGATACAAACATGAAGGGACCTACTGAACTAGACTATAGTAACCTTATGATTGACATAAGCAACCAAATCTCAAGTAGATCCAACATGGTCCTTCTCAAAAGGGAAGGAAAAAGTATCCACGCAGGTCACAGTTGCAAGGAACTCCATGTACAAACAATACATGCATGTTTAGCTACTCATTATCAAGAGCCAGTATGTTGTAGTGTTGAGGCATCAGACTAAAAATCAGGGCACAGTGAGCTCTATTCCTGCCTTGGGCACAAAGTCAGCTGAGTGACCTTGGGTCAATTACTCTTTCTCAACTCTAGGAAGGAGACAATGGCAAAGTACTTCTGAAATCTTGTCAAGAAAACTGCAGCGTTTGGTCCAGACAGTTTCCAGGAGTCAAAACTGACTCCAAGGCACATAGACACACTCATCAGTTTCAGAGGTGGTATTCAGCAGGTTCTGATCAGTTCTGGAGAACCAGTAGCGGAAATTTTGAGTTGTTCAGAGAACTGGCAAATACCACCTCTTACTGATCCCGCCCCCATCTATTCTCTGCCTCCTGAGTCCCAGCTGATCGGCTGGGTCTTCTTTTGTTGCTCTGCAGAGGAGAACAAAGCTGGAAAGCAGGTTAGTGGGGTGGGGAGGGAATGGGGATTTTGCAGTAACCTTCCCCCTGGAGTGGGGTGGGAATGGAGATTTTACAGTATCCTTCCCCTGCCACGCCCACCAAGGCACACCACGCCCACCAAGGCACACCACGCCCACCAAACCAGTATTTTAAAAAATTGAATCCCACCACTGCATCAGTTAGATGAAAATTAGTACAAAATATATACATAAAGGGGTCTTTCTTGAAATGAATTTCTCCAAAGCTAAGGTTTTTGTTTTGTCCAGAATATGCCCTAAAATTCAGCCTTAAAAGAATAGTTAAATTGATGGGGTCAATTTCAAGTACCTAAACACCAACATCCTCTGCCTATTGGAAGAACCAACTGAGTGAGTTCCTGTTAGGAAAAGTTTCTAATGCAGATTTAAAACATGTGGCAATAATGATGTTCCTACAGCAATCACCTTGAATACAATTTAACTATCATTGAAACGGCTTTGTCCCAAGTAATGGCCTTGATGAAAAGGACATCACAAACAACTTGGCAATGCACGTACTGCTATTGGGACTACAGTTTCCAAAATCTTTGGAATGGATTTATGCAAACTCAGTAAGAACTTCAGTATGGTTATTAACCAAGTACAAGATATCTTACAAAGGATGACGCCCTTAAGGTAGAATATATCGATTTTGTTCTTCCCTTTGCCAGAGATGAAAGCCATCTCTCCTTCGTCACATTGAATAATAAGGTGAGCATTCTTTTGCAAAGATGATGGTTCATCACGAAATACATCTAGTGCTTTGTTGAATGCGTCATGGACACGCCTAGGTAGTTTCTTCAGATATCGGACCTTTTTCCGCATTTCCTGCAGGTTTTCCACAGTAAGCTCATGGGTTTTACCCTTGTTCTGCTTTGAAAACAGCTTCCAAGTATACAATCTGAAGTCAACATTTACTGTTCCGTCTTTACTCTGTACAATGATCTTCCAATCTCCAGACTTGGAGTTTACAGATAGGCCTTGCTCATTGCAGGTGAAATAAATTTGCAGCTTCTCATCAATTACCTCAAAATATTCAGGCAATATATCCACAAGGTGATTAAAATATGATTTTAGGCTGTCGGTGAGCAAATTCCCTTGGGCTAATTCACTTTTAATGCTCCCCAAGTTATCAACATCCAGTGTCGGAAGGGAACACGAGAAATTCTCTAGTTTGTTGCCTGAACTTACATGTAATTCATGGTACTGAGGTTGCCCATTGGAATGGGTAATGTCCATTTTGTAATCTCCGTTCCCTGAAATGAATACATATTCCACATTTTCTCCATCCATGTCAAAGATGAATTTTACCTGGGCATTATTTTGTATTTCACTTGATTTCTTGGGGAACCGCTGGTGGACCATCTTGAAGCAACTGTTCTCAGCTGGAGTCAATGGGCCAAATGTCTTCAAGTCTTCTTCCACTTTTTTAAAATATCTAATGCTAAGGGGTTGCTTCCGAGACCGTAATCTGGCCAGATATGCAGATTTTGATGGGGCTTTCACACGGAACTTGTAGTCTCCAGCAGAAACATTGATTTTCCATTCTTTTTTTCCTGAAGTAAAAGAGAGCACTTTCCCATCATCCCCCTTGAGAACTACCTGAGCATTTTTCATTACCCACGAAGGTTCATTTGGAAAGTTCTTTATTACTTCTTCTAAACATTTTCCCATCCCCTCATCCATTCCTAAATTCTCCCATATGTTCTTCACCTTGAATAAGCTGTCAACATTCAGGGGATGTGTCTGTGACAGTAATATTTTCAGCTTGAAAATAGAAGATGAAAAAACATTGGCCATGGCCTTTCCGCTGTGAAATGGCTCCAAATTATTTGAATGCACTACATTCAAAAAAATACTCGATTGCTTGGGACTTATTTATTAATCCACATCAAAATATTTACAGTCTCTTTTGTCTGAGATTTCAGGCCTTAGGTTTCAAAGGATAATCCTTCATACTGATTGTAGATCAATGCTCACAGTTCAGGATGAACATTTAGCATGCTGTTTATCTGGAATTGTTTTTTTTTAAGGAAGAAAACAATATTTTATTGATTTTTTAAAAAAAATACATATTTATCTAGCTGCTTATTTATACATTTATTTAGTTGCTTGTTGGTTGAATGATAGATAGATAGATAGATAGATAGATAGATAGATAGATAGATAGATAGATAGATACAGATACAAAGACACAGACGGTAGATATAGGTAAAGGCACAGATATAGATGATAGATAGATAGATAGACAGACAGACAGAGACACACAGACAGACACAAAACACATACCGTATATGCCGGCGTATAAGACGACCCGGCGTATAAGACGACCCCCCAACATTTCCACTCAAAATATAGTTTGTTATATACTCGCCCCCTCTTCCGCACGCCTTCCACTTTTGCCCCCCCTTTTTTTTTTTGAGGCACTTTTGTGCACCGTGGAAACGAATCCCGTGAAGCCGAAAGGAGCAGCCAGCCTTCTCCCAGCTCCCAAGGAAACGAGGCTCGCACCGCCCGGGCTCCGCTGAGGTATCCGGCTGGGGCTGTCAGTTGTTGTTACTGCTGGTGCGGCTCCGCGCGGCTCCAGTCCTGAGTTGCCTCGGGAAGGGAAAGGCAAAAAGGAAGAGCCGCTGCTGCCATTGCAAAGCGCCGCCGCGGCTCTTCCTTTTTGCCTTTCCCTTCCTGAGGCAACGCGGGACTGGAGCCGCGCGGAGCCGCGCCAGCGGTAACAACTCCTGACAGCCCCAGCCGGATACCTCAGCGGAGCCTGGGCGGTGCGAGCCTCGTTTCCTTGGGAGCTGGGAGAAGGCTGGCTGCTCCTTTCGGCTTCACGGGATTCGTTTCCACGGTGCGCAAAAGTGCCTCAGCCGCGGGCAGCCGCAGTGCTTCCCAATTACTATTTGCCGGCGTATAAGACGACCCGGCATATAAGACGACCCCCCCCAATTGGAGGCATGTTTTTCAGGGCAAAAAAGTCGTCTTATACGCCGGCAAATACGGTAGATGGTACATAAAGGTAAAGGCATAGATATAGATGATGATAGATAAGTAGGTAGATAGGTAGGTAGATAGTGCTTGACTTGCAACAGTTCATTTAGTGACTGTTCAAAGTTATAATGACACTGAAAAAGTGGCTTAGGACCACTTTTCACAGTTATGACCATTGCAGCATCCCCATAATCATGTGATCAAAATTCAGATTCTTGGCAACTGGTTCATATTTATCAGAAGCCAAGGTTCAGTGATCATCTTTTGTGACCTTTTGACAAAAAAAAAGTCAATGGGGAAGCCTGATTCACTTAACAACCAGGTCACTAATTTATCAATTGTAGTGATTCATTTAACAACTGTGGCAAGAAAGGTCGTAAAATGGGGCAAAACACACTTAGCAAATGTCCCACTTAACAACAGAAGTTTTGGGTTCCATTGTAGTCAAAAGTCGAGGACTACCTGATAGATACAGATATACATAGATATAGATGTAGATATATAGATATACACACACATTAGGTTTTCTATATTTTACTCCACAGTCATAAACTTGAGCTATAGGTAGGGCTAAAACAGAGTGACTGTCAAGGAAATCAGGAGTCCAAGCAGATTAAAAAATATAGGTTTATTGTATGCTAATGCTTGCATGAAGAGATTTGAGACTGATGACCTGTTTGATCCCTCCCTCAGGCTCAATCTGGTCATCTCCTAGAGTAATTATTAAATATTCAGGACAAACAGAAGCTTGATCCTGAATATCCCTCCTCCTTCTTCATAATAACCTCTTACCTCTTCTCAAGCAACTCATGATCACGAGTTGAAACAGGGAAACTGTTAGTAAAAATTATTCAACATTAACCTGTCTGTACTAAGAAGCACAGGCACTACTCCACACAATTATGAGGAATCAAGACTTGACTTGAAGCCTTTCCAAAAGGGAGGGGACAAGAATGTAATCAATCTTAAAGTCAATCAGAATAGAGCTGGAAGGGACCTCGGAGGACTTCTAGTCCAGCCCTCTGCTCAAGCAGGAGACCCTATACCATTTTATACAAGTGACTGTCCACTCTCTTCTTAAAAGCCTCCAGTGATAAAGCACCCACAGCTGCTGAAGGCAAGCTGTTCCACTTGGTTAATTGTCCTCAATGTTGGGAAGTTTCTCCTTAATAATCTTATGGAGTTCCTTAATATGTTCAGGGAAGTGAATGTAGTCATGTATGAAAAGTCTGAGAGATATTTCAGGAAATATACATTGGTGTTTAGGTTGTTGTGGTGATATCTAAGTGGTTGAAGTAGAAATTCCTAGGTTGGTGATAATTGCATTTTACCTTCCAATGAAAGAAAGATGATGGAAGATTTTGAAGGGACATTTTATGACATCCTGAATTAACCTGAAATAGGAGAGAAAAATATTTTGCTAGAAAGCATGAGTAGATTGGTTAGTACAAGATCAGAGTCTATGGAAAAAGTGACTCTAGAATGAATAATAATTGTGGCTGATGAGGACTGGCTCAAAAACATAACTTTTGAAGACATGGTTTAAGCACAAGTTCAGATGGCAAAGGAATGCAATCAATTCACCACATGATGGAGTTGATAGTTTATTCAAGGGTCTTCAAACTTGGCAAGTTTAAGACTTGTGGACTTCAACTCCCAGAATTCCTGAGCTAACATGAATAATGGAGGAATTCTGGGAGTTGTAGTCCACAAGTCTTAAAACTGTCAAGTTTGAAGACCCCTGTATAAAAAGATTGAGAGAATCAAATGACAATGCAAGGGTGATAAGAGATGCTGAACGAAGGAAAAATAACTATTTTTTTCAACTTCTTAGTTTCCAGCACTTCTAACCAATGTCCTTGCTGAACTCTAAAACTACAGTCTGTTCCACCAGCCAGTTCATTCGGCAGATGACCCTCTGGGCTAATGGACTTCAACTCCCAGAATCCCCTAGCCAACTATGTTGAAGTCCACATATCTTTAAGCTGCCAAGGTTGAGAAACACTGTTCTTGGCTCCCTTTGACACCTGTTGAACTTCCCACTGCAAATCCCAGGCTGTTCCATATGACAGGCCCTAAAACACAGAAGTTATACCCCCTGGAACCCACTAGATGGCGCTGTTTAATGGAAGGAACCCAGAGAATATTTATTTATTTATTTATTTGATTTGTCAATTGTTTACAAGACAATAAGTACAAGTGTATACATAGTTGTGAATATATGAAATGGGTACATATATGAAAAATAAAAGAATAAGAGAAACAATAGGACAGGGACGGTAGGCACGTTGGTGCGCTTATGCACGCCCCCTATAGACCTCTTAGGAAAGGGGTGAGGTCAATAGTAGACAGTCTAAGGTTAAAGTTTTTGGGGTTTGGGGAAGAGACTACAGAGTCGGGTAGAGTATTCCAGACATTGACCACTCTATTGCTGAAGTCGTATTTCCTGCAATCAAGTTTGGTGCGGTTTACTTTGAGTTTGTATCTGTTGTGTGCTCTTGTGTTGTTATGGTTAAAGCTGAAGTATTCATTGACAGGTAGGACATTGCAATGTATGATTTTATATACCGTGCTTAAGTCGGACCGAAGACGGCGTAATTCAAGGTTTTCTAGTTTTAGAATTTCGAGTCTGGTGGCATAAGGTATTCTACAACGAGTAGAAGAGTGGAGAACTCTTCTTGTGAAATACTTCTGGACTTTCTCAATTGTGCTAATATCACATACGTAATAAGGATTCCAGACTGATGAACTGTATTCGAGTATTGGTCTAGCAAATGTTTTGTATGCTCTGGTTAGTAGTGAGATATTACCAGAGAAAATTTATATGTGAGACTAGGATGAAGCTGCCATACCTAAAGATGAAACAGGGAGGTAAGCAAGTCAAATAAAAGACAAAATTCCTGCCTAAATCCTCCCTCCCCATTAAAATCCCACCAGCAGTTGCCAGTCTTGTCAATCAACTTACCCACAGCCTTCTTCATTAGGCTGCCAGGCACTAACCAGAGGGACTGAAGCCGCCAAGTCTGGATCTAAAGACAACGCAAAGAAGGCAGGCTTCTGGACCTATTTTAACCCCCAAATCCATGCTTCTGTACAAGTAAGGAAAAGCAGATCTATATTATAACCAGTTAACTTTTGCCCTTACTTTAAATTTACTTTAATTTTTTTCCCTTACTCAATTGTAAGGGATGTAAATTTAGGAAAGGATACTCAGGTTTTGAAAGAGGTCAGGTGTCTACTAGGTGCTACTGCCAGCAGAGACAAGAAGCGTATTCTTAAGATAGTCAAGAATGCCAGCAAGGACTGTGATGTTGATGCTATTATACATCTTGGTACAAATGATGTGTCCCAGAAGGATGTACTTTCTGTTCAGAAAGACTTCCAAAGCTTGGGGTATGAACTTAGTAATATGGGCTTTAGGCTTATCTTTTCAGAGGTTCTACCAATATACAAGGAACCAAAAGGGAAAGGGCAGCAGGTAGCAGAGTTTGTGGCTAAAGGAGTGGTGTAAAAGGGAAGGCTTTGGTTTTATTAGTCATGTTGTCTACAGCTAGTCCAATGAAAACTGTAGAAAAGAGATGGTTTGCATCCATCAAAGAAAGGGACTGAGTTACTTGGCATTAAATTCACAGATTTCCTGGATAAACATTTAAACTGAACAGCGGGGACAGAGAATTAATGGATTCATAACATTTCTGTCCCTAGCAACCTAAAACTAATAAGGACACCAGTGCATGCAAAATAGATGTTTGTGCAGGTAAGATTATCAACCTTGATATCAACCAAAACCAATCATTTAATAGTGAGTGCCATACCAAGTGCATTAATCAAACAGGTGGCAAGAAAGTAGGGGCAGGCAGGCACAACACAGGTTATGGAGACAGTAAACACAGTGTCAGACATAAAAATCTCAAGTGCCTATATACAAATGCACAAAGTCTGGGGAACAAACAAGGTGAACTCAAACTATGAATACATGAAGGTAAATATGATATAGTTGGAACAAAAGAAACTTGGTGGGAAACCCATGACTGGAACATACTGGTAGAAGGATACAAACTATTCAAAAAAACAAACAAACAGACCCCATAAAAGAGGAGGTGGAGTTGCACTGTATGTAAAGGACCACTATATTGCTACAGAAATGCATGAAACCAAAGATGAAAGCCTCCTAGAATGCATATGGGTCAATATAAAAGAAAAAAAAATGTCATGGCCATAGGTGTATATTATAGACCACCCAATCAAGCAGAAAATATAGATGTCCTTTTTGCCAGCCAACTAACAAATATATGCAGGAAACACAAAACAATAGTAATGGGAGACTTCAATTATCCTGATATCAATTGGAAAACTAATTCTGCACCAAGTGAAAAATCAAATAAGTTCTTAACTAACCTAGCTGACAACTTTGTTGTCCAAAAGTAGAGGGTGAAACTAGAGGGACAGCCATACTGGACTTAATTCTTACAAACAGAGAATAAGTGATAAAGGGAATTGAAATTGCAGGAACCTTGGGTGAGAGTGACCATGTCATACTAGAATTCAACATAACACAAACACAAGCAACAGAACATAATGACACCAGAGTCTTGGATTTTAAAAGAGCTGATTTCAATAAACTCAGAGAGAACTTGGGAAAGATTCCATGGATGAAAATCCTAAAGGGGAAAACAACTCAAGAATCTTGGGAAACTCTAAAAAGTATGATCATGGAAGCCCAGACCAGCAGAATACCACTGAGAAAGAAAAACAAGAAATCCAAGAAGAAACCAGCATGGCTGCACAAAGATCTCTCTGGCAAATTGAAAGAAAAAAAGGACAAGTACAAAAATTGGAAAGAAGGACATACAACTAAGGCAGAATATCAGCAGATAGCCAGAATCTGCAAAGACGAAGTTAGGATAGCAAAGGCTCAGGACGAACAAAGACTAGCAACAAAAGTCAAAGATAATAAAAAAAGTTTCTTCCAACATATAAATAACAAGAAGAAAAATCAAGGAAACAGTCAATCCACTAAAGAAAGAAGACGGCAAGGAAGTAACAGACAACAGAGAGAAAGCAGAACTGCTTAACTCATTCATTGCATCAGTCTTCACGCAAACCTCCCCCCCACATAGCTCAACCCACCAAAAACATAATTGTAAAAGACACCAGAAATAAAAGTTAAAATAAGCAAAAAAATAATAAGAGAATACCTGCCTGATCTTGATGAAAACAAATCACCGGGGCCTGATGGATTACATCCCAGAGTTTTAAAGGAGCTGGCAGAGGTCATCTCAGAACCACTGCACCATATCTTTCAAAAATCCTGGAGCACCGGGGAACTACCAGAGGACTGGAAAAGAGATGATGTGGTTCCCATCTTCAAAAAAGAAAAAGAAAACAGATCCAGGAAACTATAGACCAATCAGCCTAACATCAATACCTGGGAAGATACTGGAAAAGATAATAAAAAAACAGATCTGCCAACATCTGGAAACAAGTAAAGTAATAACTAGCAGTCAGCACGAGTTTGTTAAGAACAGATCATGCCAAACCAATCTTATTTCATTCTTCAACACAGTGACTAAATTAGTAGACCAGCAAAATACTGTGGACATAATATATTTAGATTTCAGCAAGGCATTCGATAAAGTAGACCACACAACCTACTTCTTAGTAAGCTAGAAAAAAGTGGAATAGATAGCATCACCACCAGATGGACTCACAACTGGCTGGAAAACCATACTCAACGAGTAGTCCTTAATGGGTCTAAGTCTACATGGAGGGAAGTAAACAGTGGGGTGCCACGAGGTTCCTTCTTAGGCCCAGTACTCTTCAATATCTTCATTAACAACTTAGATGAGGGAATAGAAGGGGAACTTACTAAATTTGCAGACAATATTAAGCTGGCAGGAATAGCTAACACCCAAGAAGATAGGCTCAAGATCCAGATGGATCTTGACAGACTAGAACACTGGGCCGTATCTAACAAAATGAAATTCAGTGTAGAGAAAAGTAAAGTCCTACACTTAGGCAAGAAAAAACAAAAGTACACATATAGACTGGGTGAAACCAGGCTCAATAGCAGTAACTGTGAGAGGTATCTTGGAGTCTTAGTGGACAACCAGCTAAATATGAGCCAGCAGTGTGCAGCAGCAGCCAAAAAAGCTAATGCAATCCTAAGTTGTATTAACAGAGAGATACAATCAAGATCAAGGGAAGTACTAATACCACTCTATAAAGCCTTAGTAAGACCACACTTAGAGTACTGCATCCAGTTTTGTTCACCACATTATAAAAAAGATGTTGAGACTCTAGAGAAAGTACAGAGAAGAACAACCAGGATGATTAGGGGACTGGAGACTAAAACATACAACGAACGGTTGCAGGAACTGGGCTTGGCTAGTCTAGTGAAGAGAAGGGCCAGGGGAGACATGATAGCAGTCTTCCAATATTTGAGGGGCTGCCACAGGGAGGAAGGGGTCAAGCTATTTTCTAAAGCGCCTGTAGGCCAGACAAGGAATAATGGATGGAAACTGAATAAGGAGTGATTTAACTTGGTGTTGTAATGACAAGGCAGTCGAGGTGTTTGGTCATGATCAACTGAATCATGATGATCTTTATTGGAATCTAGTCTTGCATTTATTACACATTTTTAGTAATCCTCCAACATTGGTTAACTTTGGTTATTGCTTAACTTTTGTTGCTGTTTAGCATAGTAATTAATACAATTAATTATCTCTAGTTAAAGTCTAACACATGTTTACTTCCTCTCTCTAATCCTCCTTTAGATTAGTGACTTTGTTTGCCTGAGTTGTAATTGCTTGGAAACATTCTTTATCTGAGGTTTGCCATCCAAGATAGGAACATTCCTGCAATTACAACTCTACAACCTGGAAATAAGGAGAAACTCTCTGACAGTGAGAACAATCAACCAATGGAACAGCTTTGCCCTCAGAAGTTGTGGGAGTGCCATCACTTGAGACTTTCGAGAAGAGATTGGACTGCCATTTGTCAGAAATGGTGTAGGGTCTCCCGCTTGGGTGGGGGTTTTTACTAGATGACCTACAAGGTCCCTTTCAACTCTAAATATAGTTGGCCTTCAACTTAAAGCCACAATTGAGCGGCACATTTTTGTTGCTAAGCGAGACATTTATTAAGCAAGTTTTGCTCCATTTTACGACCTTTCATGCCACAGATATTGAGTGAATCACTGCGGTTGTTAAGTTAATAGCATGGTTGTTAAGTGAATCGGGCCTCCCCATTGACTTTGCTTGCCAGAAGGTCTCAAAAGGGATCACATGACCACAGGACAGTGCAACCGTCATGAATATGAGTCAGTTGCTAAGTGTTTGGATATTGATCACGTGACCATGGGAGGTACTGCATGTCAGGTTTTACCACACAATGTTAGATGTTAGAAACAACCCCCCAAAGTCACATTCTCCAATAGAAGTAATTCAACATTGCTTGATGTCATAAATCTGCACCTCAAGGGGCCTGAGCAAGGTCAGCTTGTTTTTCCACAGGAAGAAGAACCACCTAGCCTAAACAACTCTCTCTATCTCCACTCCTCCCCCCTCTTAGGAATGTGGCAAGCCTGAAACCCTTCCCCCATGACCGCCAAAAAGAAAGTAAGAAAAAGAATATCTACTATATACTAAATCTAATCAAAATGGCTATGCATATGTCAATTTCGATTTTGACACTGCAATGATCCTAAGCATGAAAAACAGTCATAAGTTACCTTTTTAATCTTATAACTTCATTTGCTCACTAAATGAACTTTTGTAAATCAAGGATCTCCTGCTTGAGTAGGGGGCTGGACTAGAAGACCTCCAAGGCCTCTTCCAACTCTAATTCTGATTCTGAGGATTATCTGTATGTGACTAAAGCATCAGGTTGCCAACTCCTTTCTTATTAAATAAGAAGGTACAAGAACCCTGCGGATCGATTCTAGTCTAAGGTTTTGTATCATACAGTGGCCTTCCAAATTCATTCAGGAAGGTTGAAGGTAAAAAAAAATGGGGGAGAGAAAGAGAAGAAGCGAGGGAAGGAGGGAGAGAGAAAAAGTGAGTGCACAACACTCTTATAGGTAAACTCCCTCTGAAGCTGAAGGCTATATACAGCCATTTATTTATTTATTTATTTTATTTTGTCAAGCAAGTATTAGATAACAGGTATAAGTATAAACATGGTTATGAATACATGAAATGGATATGAATTTTTTAAAAAAGAAACAATAGGACAGGGACGATAAGCATGTTGGTGTGCTTATGCACGCCCCCTACAGGCCTCTTAGGGAAGGGGTGAGGTCAATAGTAGACAGTCTAAGGTTAAAGTTTTTGGGGTTTGGGGAAGAAACCACAGAGTCGGGTAGAGTATTCCAGGCATTGACCACTCTGTTGCTGAAATCATATTTCCTGCAATCAAGTTTATTAGCTTTTTTTTTTTTAGTACAAAGCTCCTTTTATGGGCTCAGCATTTCTCACAATTCAAACCTCCATTAGCTTCAATGTGTTTAAATACTGTGAGAGAACAAAAATAATAATTCTAGATAGATGTTCTATACTTATGCAGGTCTTACATGGTCTTTTGTACCACCCATCTTTTCTGCTAAACTCAAAAATACAAAAATATATTGTAGTCCTTCCCTGTAGAATTGCACTCTTATTTCCAAATCATTTCCTGTGAATAACATAATCTACAACAACAACCGCATAGAGCTAAACATTCATATGTTGATTGCAAATACATACCTCAGACATCGGATCAGCGCTGCAAGTGTGGCAGAAGACAGGTGAATAGATGAACACGCTTCGTGCAAGTTTACTTGTTAAAGTTTGCACGGCTATTCCTACCTGTACAATGGCATAAGTGCGCATTGAGATTTACAAGGAAAGCACTCTTGGAGTGTGTTGACGTTTCTACACAATGGGCTGGGTTTGTTTAAACCAAGCAAAAAATCCCTCCTGGGGCTTTACCATTGCAGAAGTTTTAATTTTCCTCAGTGTTCAGGGCAGGAAGCATGTGCGAATCGGTCCACACCCTGCTACACTTCCTTTGGGGACTTTCCAAGGAGCAGATTTTCAAATCTGATAGTGCTGCATTCAGCAGCAGGGACCAGGCATGTCCTGAAGCTGAGAATAATTCAGCTGAGAAACCCATCTACCATACAATCCCTGACACTCAGTCCTAAAATCCCTAAGATTGAAGCATTAGACAGACAATTAGCATTAGATAATAGTCTGTATATATTCTCAGGCAGGGGTGGGATGCAAATATTTTTACTACTGGTTCTGTGGGCGTGGCTAGGTGGGAGTGGCTAGGTGGGCATGGCCATGTGGCTGGGTGGGCGTGGCTTCCTTTATTTTTTGCAGCACTCCCTCCCACGCGCCATTATTTTTTTTTTTTGCCTCCTGGGCCTCAGGGAAGCCTCTTGTGAGGAGGCATTTTTGCTCCCAGGAGGCTTTCCTGAGGCCCAGGAAGGCCAAAAACGGAGCGCCGGTGGGTTGCGCAGCACTCCCCCCCACCACCCGGTGCTCCATTTTTTGGCCTCCTGGGCCTTAGGGAAAGCTCCTAGGAGGCTTCCCTGAGACCCAAGAAGGCAAAAACAAATGGAGCGTGGGAGGGAGTGCTGCAAAAAAATAAAATAAAAAAAATGAAGCCACGCCCACAGAACCGGTAGTAAAAATATTTGCAGCTCCCCCCCCCCCCCACGTGTGCCCCTTTTTGCCTCCTGGGCCTTAGGAAAGCCTTCTGGGCCAAGCAGTAAGACAGCGAGGGGGATCCCAGCACAGCTGATCGTCGGAACAGCTGATTGTCAGGAGGGGGGGAGAAATAAATTAACGAGTGACTGGGCAGGGGAGAATGCAGTCAGCGATGTTGGGCATGCATACAATGTCACGCATATGCGATAAGGACTGACTGGGTGGGGAGGGGGAGGGGCCAGGCCAGCCAGAGGCATGATTTGCCAGTTCTCTGAACTGCACAGAATCATAACAACCGGTTCTATAGAACTGGTCCAAACCTGTAGAATGCCACCCCTGTTCTCAGTCATCCAGGTCATTGTTGTCCCAAAGGTGCTTTTTCAGGAGGCAACTGGACTTCCTTGTTTTTTTCTTTGAAGACATTTCACTTCTCATACAGAGTTGAAGAAGCTTCTTGGATGAGGAGCGAAACGTCTTCAAAGAAAAACAAGAAAGTCCAGTTGCCTCCTGAAAAAGCACCTTTGGGATAGCATTAGATCATGGCACATAAATGAAAGCAGCTTTTCTTTGGCTTGGTTTCATTGATTTAAATATTGCTTTACAGGTAGTGCTTGACTTACGACCACAAATGAGCCCCAAATTTCTGTTGGTAAGCAAGATGGTTGTTAAGTGAATTTTACCTCATTTTACAACTTTTCCTGCCACAGTTGTGAAGTGAATCACTGCAATCAGTCACTTAATAACACGGTTGTTAAGTGAATCCGGCTTCCCCATTGACTGCTTGTCAGAAGGTCACAAAAGGGGATCCCATGATCCCAAATGTCAGTGGCCCAGCATCTGAATTTTGACCATGTGACCATGCAGATGCTGCAATGGTTGTAAACATGAAAAAGGATCATAAGCAGAGGTGGTATTCAGCAGGTTCTGACCAGTTCTGGAGAACTGGTAGCGGAAATTTTGAGTAGTTCGGAGAAGTGGCAAATGCCACCTCTCACTGGAGATTTTACAATATCCTTCCCCTGCCACAGCCACCAAGCCACACCCATAGAACCGGTAGTAAAAAAAATTGAATCCAACCACTTGTCATAAGTCACTTTTTTTCAGTACCGTTGTAACTTTGAATGGTCAGTAAATGAACTGTTGTAAGTTGAGCACTAGCTATAGTTAGTTTCATAAAGAAATCCCCTTCTCAAATGTTCATATACAGGATTGGGGCTATTTATTAGTCTCCACAATAACATACTTACCACATTTACAAAATTGTCAAGGAATGTAATTTTGTGGCTGATACATTTAAATAGAAATACAATTATTGTGGAGAACTTATGTGGAAAAGGTGGGAGAAGTGTAAATCAGTAGGCTAGTCTTACATGAAGGACATAAAACTATGCTTCCACAGCTCATATACTCTTATTATATTCTTCCACAAGAGGCAAAAAATCCCCTTTCCCTTCCTAATTAACTAATGGAACACCTGGCCTTCAGAAGTTGTGGGTTCTCCATCACTGGAGGCTTTCAAAAGGAGACTGGAGAACCATTTGTCTGGAATGTATAGGGCAAGGGTCTTCAAACTTGGCAAGTTTAAGACTTGTGGACTTCAACTCCCAGAATTCCTGAGCTCACATGACTGGAGGAGGAATTCTGGAAGTTGAAGTCCACAAGTCTTAAAGCTGTCAAGTTTGAAGACCCCCTGCTGTAGGGTTTCCTGCTCAAGCAGGGGGTTGGACTAGAAGACCTCCAAGATCCCTTCCAGCTCTATTATTCTATGTTGTATGCAATGTATTTTGGTTACTTCAACCAAGGCTGTTTTTGTCCTGCGTAGTCAGCCTACACTAGGGGTGTCAAACTGGTGGCCCAAAGGCCAGATATGTCACACATAGGCCACGCCCACCCCAGCTCCGAGAATGGGAAAAACGTCATGAAACATCACGTGATGGGGTGAGTTTGACACCCGTGGCCTACCAGAGGTAATATTCAGCAGGTTCTGACCAGTTCTGAAGAACCGGTAGTGGAAATTTTGAGTAGTCTGGAGAACCAGCAAATACCACCTCTGACTAGAGATTTTACAGTATCCTTCCCCTGCCACGCCCACCAAGCCATGCCCACAGAACCGGCAGTAAAAAAAAAATTGAATCCCACCACTGTGACCTACACTGTGATGGGGAGCCATGCAGAAGTGTCATTTTTTCGCCCCCTGGAATACAGGCCTAGCAGCTTGTTTCCATTGCAAGAAAGCAAAAAAAAAAAAAAAAAGAGCCTGCTATTTGAGAGGTTCAATTATAAATAGGCAAAAACTCCCTTCTCAGGAATGTTTATCTATTGCTACTATATACAAATCATTTGAGGCTGATTAGTGCTACGGTGTTTAAGCTGTTTCAGTTTCAGCTTTAACTTTTTTTCATGATGATTCACCATCTTGAGTGTCCTGTGAACTGAATATAATTAATAAAAATAAGTTTAAAAAAATATTTGCAAAGGACCAGTAGAGGACTGTGGACTTTGGGATATTTAAAGATCCTTTCCTGTTTTAACTTTAATAGAATAACAGAATAACGGGGTTGGAAGGGATTATGGAGGTCATCTAATCCAACCAGGTGTTCTTGAAGGAAACCCTACACCATTTGAGACAAATGGTTGCCCAATCTCTTCTTTAAAAAATCTTCAGTGTTGGGGCACACACAACTTCTGGAGGCAAACTGTTCCACTGATTAATTGTTTTAAATGTCAGACAATTTCTCCTTAGTACTAGGTTGTTTCTCTCCTTGATTAGTTTCCACCCATTGCTTCTTGTCCTGTCCTCAAGTGCTTTGGAGAATAGCTTTACTCCCTTTTCATTGGGGCAGCCCCTGAGATATTGGAAGACTGCTATCATATCATCCCTAGTCTCCCCCCCCCCATTGAATTAGAATATCCAATTCCAGCAACCATTCTTTAAATATTTTAGCTTTCAGTCCCCTAATCCTCTTTGTTGCTTTCCTCTGCACTCTTTCTAGTGTCTCAACATCTTTTTTACATTGTGGCGACCAAAACTGGATGCAGTATTCCAAATGTGGCCTTACCAAGGCATTATAAAGTGGTATTAACACTTCAGGTGATCTTGCTTTTTATCCCTCTGTCAGTTTGATTTATGAGTATGTCAGCTGAATATAATGGAAACAAATAAGAGCTGGATTCCAACAAGAAAACTTGTAGTGTGCTTCTATCATCACAACCATCATTTAAAAAAAAATCCTCTGCTGGTTAATGACTGCAGTAAAGTTATTTGGTTTGATTCGTTAATAAAAACCCTGGACTTTCACCTCCATAGTCAGTAACCTCAGGCAAACAATTCAATAAATGTACATGTGATGAAAAACACTGTTCTATTGTTTCTGTTATTATTTATTTTACGACTCCAGAACATCTTACATTAAAAAGGGAGACTATGATATTTAAAATCATTATTCTTATTATTGAAACACTAATGAATGTCTTGTGATGACTATGTCAAACACTTCAGGTGAAATGAAGTTCTTCTTCTTTGGTTTTCTGCTTGTGCTGCTAACCATTTTCATCAGCCAGTAAGGAAAAGATCTATCAGTCAGGGTCCAGGAGTAAGAATGAGGAGGGTTTGACCCTCCACACCTCTTTTCTAACACACAGTTTGGACATCTTCAGGGGTGGGCTTCCAAAATTTTGAAACGGGTTCTCTGCCCAGTTGCTGGGTGGGCGTGGCCAGGGTGGGCATGGACTAGTCAGCCTTCTACACCACGGTGTGTTTGAGGGGGTGACTTTTGCCCTCCCCAGGCTCCGGAGGCTTCCTTCGCGCCTCTGGGAGGGCAAAAGCAGCCTTCCCAGGCTCCAGAGGCATTCTGGAAGCCAGAAACGGGCCCATTTCCAGCTTTCCTGAACTTCTGAGAGGCCCGTTTTTCACCCTCCCTGAGCCTCCTCACGTGCCCTGCATTTACCTGCATCCAAAATGAGCTGTGTGGGGACTCCTTAGGAGGGCTGGGGCAGGTTGGGCAGGGCCAGCCTGGAGTCAGATTTGGGGGTTGTCAGATCTGTGCAAAATCTTAGCTAGAGGATCTCCCGAACCCCTGCAAACCCACAGCAGCCCACCCCAGGACATCTCCCAAGGTAAAAATGATATAAAGGGTAGAAAAAAGCTTAGATAAGAGAAAGGCAGACCTGCTACGATAATGCAACAAGATAGGAACTGAAACTAATTAGGGTTTGGCCTAACCCTGACCCTAACTTAATAGAAAAATTGCCACAAAGAGGAGAGGGTCAACTTATTTTCCAAAGCACCAGAGGCCAGGACAATAAACAATGAAAACTAATCAAGGAGAAAAGCAACCTGGAATTAAGGAGAAACTTTCTAACAGTGCAAACAATTAACCAGTGGAAAAGCTTGCCTAAAGAATTATAGATACTTTATCACTGGAGGTATTTAAGAAGAGA